TTACCAAGGAAACCGTAAACGCGTATTTTTGTTTCCCGAAAATGAGCTCACCGTTGAGCTCATCAGGCGCGTTTTTTTTTTAGGCTTCATTTGAGTTCAACGATCAATTTCGACTAGAATTACTCTACCGCTAAGAAATTTTCTTATAGACAAACGATCGAAACTACCTGCGCATTACGTTAAAAGCATAAAATACAGTTTTCACAGGTTTATTTATTTTAAAAATGGACCCCCCCCCAAAAAGCCTACACATCGATGAGCTGGTGCGCCATTTAAACGCATTAGCACTAGTACACTAGTACTCTAGAAGAGGCAAGTCGAAATCAAAAAGCGCTGCTTATCGGCTGAGCGCTTAAAAGGGTCGCTACTATTGGCTGCATTCTTTCCCTGCTTTTTATTTCTGTTGGTAAACACCATCTAAAGGCGAAGGAATGCAATCGGAGTGGTTTAGGCTTGCTGTTCTCTCTATGCTGAAAAAACTGTCTGAATGGACCGTTGCGAGCTGATTATAATGGACCACTAGACAAGGTACGAATTTAAGCATTCTGATACATGTTTCCCAGTCAGAATTTCACGTAGAGCACGATTTGCACAACGAAAATTACTTGAACCAACTCCTGACGAAGATATTCACGTTTTTATTTCACATTGGTTACGAGGAATTTGAACTGCTCGCTCACAAGAAACTCAAAGCTCTACGTGAGTCAAATTGCGCACTACAAAGGTTTCAGCAACTTCTCAGTCGAGCAATGTTCATGTCCCACCATGTGTTGTTCAAACTATAAGCAATTTGCTACAGCTGAGCCAAAGCGTCAAGATTGAGGTTGCCAGATTTGTATATCGTAGAGACCGTCATGATAACATTTAGCGCGCGATGTGAATCACGTGGAGCATTGAGTTTTCATGAGCGGGTGGTTTGAATTCACGCATCAAGAATCATTAAATATCTTTGGAAGGAGTTGATTTCGGTAATTTTCTATGTGCGCATCGTGTTCTACGTGAAATTTTGGTTTAGAAACATGTATCAGAATGCTGAAATTCGTACCTTATCTAGTGGTCCATTGAAGGAAATATGTCAACGTCTGAAGGGTCTTACGGCGTTTTTCCTTAGCACGGCAATATTGCTAAATGTAGTCCAATTGTCGAGCAAGCCGATACAGGGAAAATTAGAGTACCTATATTATCCTAGGAAGAATATTGTCATTTCAAACCTTTTACTACAAAAAAGCGCCGCTCTCTGAATGATATACGAATCTCAGGCTACTATGATAGCAACTCCGCCTCTGGTCATGCATGCACCAAGCTCCCTATTAGCGGAATACCACTATTCAAGCATCGGTGTGTTGCGGGGTATCATATTTAATTGAAGGCGCTTTTACAAACTTCGTTTCTACTTGAGTATAACTCTTTGTGTATCTAGAGCCCATATTTTATACTGAGAGTAAAGACAATACGAATCCAAAAGATTATAACCTGGATTAGACCGGAGAATTAGAGGCACGGCAAGGAAAAAATGGGATGAGAGAGAGGGCGGAAACAGGAATTTGGGAATGGGTTGATCAAAGAGTACGAAAAACGTTCAATTCGTGTTTTATTCCCCTTTGTGATATCCATGAGCCGCGCTGTCTCAACTCTCCGTATAATGGGACTCTATGTCTATCCATTTAAATAATCAGTCCGCTGTAATACTATCGCAAACCTGCTTGCCTAATAGCACAGGAACCGATGCAGTTTCGAATCTCGAAGCTCCAGTCCCCGCACCCACCTGACCAAGCATAGGGCACATAGGCGAGGCGTAAATTATCGATTTTCGATATCCCCCGTACTTGAAGCTATGGGAAAGAATCGATTATTAAGGTGTTCGTTGCGAGCACCTTTTTTTTTTTTTTTTTTTTTTTTTTTTTTTTTTTTTTTTTTTTTTTTTTTTATATATATATTTGTACATTATCATAATTTAGTACAAAATACACTTATAGACATATGAAAATGTCTTTTAAAGCTTAATTTAACTGTAAGATTAACTTAACTATATTGAAATAAACATTGGGAACACCCTGTCTATCGATCCTTTTCCATAGGTTTAAATGACAGATCAATCGATACATCGCACACTGAAAAAAACATCTCGGTGTATTTACCAAGAAAAGGGTAACATTACCAAGAATTGAGGGTTCTATTTGATCCCAGTTTTTTCTTGGTAAAATTACCATTTATGGAATTGGTAATTTTACTAAGAAATCTCGGTAAAATTATTGAACTTTCTCGGTTATTTTACTGGACCTTGGTAAAAACGCCAATATTTTATATCGACTGTGGTAGAATTACCGAGATGAAATGGCAAAGTTACCGGGAATTGATCACCAATAAAAGTGGTATTCTTACCTGAAAAAAAAACAGTAAAAATACCGGTTTTTAGGTAAGCTTACCAGTCTCTCTTTGTAAAATTACCAATGATTGGGAAAAAAAGTGAGATGGTAAAGGTACCAACGGACCTTGGTAAAAACGTCTATCGATCCTTTTCCATGGGTTTAAATGACAGATCAATCATCGATACATCGCAAAGCACGCCACGCCACGGATCGAGCTCCCAACATCCCAAAATATCCCTCCCCCCATTCCTGTCGCGGCGCGGCGGTCAACAGCTCAAAATACCACGGTCAGCACCCCTCCCCCCAGCCACCCACCCACATCCCCGAATATAATCAAACTTCAAACAGTAAATAAACTGCTGAAACTCCGAGCGGAATGTTTCCTCGACAGGGGGTGCTGTCCCCGATATTTTATTAAACGCTGAGCGTGACACTTTATCCCCCCCCCTCTGCCACTTTTCCTCGCCCTCCCCCC